GGGGGGGGGAATTATTGTCCGTGTTATCTATTGACACCATTATTTCAAAGGATAAGACACTACAGTGTTAAAAAGTAGAAAGGACACAGTCACGCATGAAATCAGGTCAATGGAAAACACTGGGCTTTCAAAACACAACCCCGTCCTCTCCCGTGTTGTAGTAGATGTTGCTGCAGCTCTGCCAAGGGCCATTGTCTATCAGTTCAGGGACCCACTACACTGCACCACGCGTAATCAATCCATCAGCAAGGATGCTTCCGTGTTCATGAGCCTCAGGCATTCCCCTTTGAAGGGCCTAAACTCTCTCTCAAAATGTGAGCCATGACTGGGATGGGGCCACTCTGACCCACTGCCAGTGGAAGCTATTGCCGTCAACTCGAGTTTGACTCGCTTCTACCCTGAGGGACAAAAGCCAACGTCCGTTCCGTAGGTTTCTCGCCACACTCGGATCACTCCTTTAAAATGTCCCTCAAGGTTTGTCGTCTTCCATTTTCTTTCCAGGATGTTTTTCTCTTGGAGAAAAGTTTAGAGTGGTCAAAAGAGAAGTGTTCTCTGTGTGTCTATTTGCGTCTTGTTTTTAACCGGTTCCCTTCCTCCTGTTTTGACAGGTCTGGCCGGTGACAGAGGGGACCCAGGAGATGCAGGCGCCCCTGGCCCTGTGGGCATGAAAGGATTCTCTGGTGACAGAGGGGATGCTGGCTCCTCCGGTGATAGAGGGCATCCAGGAAACCCTGGGTTCAAAGGCATGAGCGGAATGCCTGGTATTCCAGGGCCAAAAGGTGATTGTGGAACCCTGCTCATGGGAAAGACCCAGACAGGGGTGGGATGCGGGTTAAGCTGATATTTGGGACAGCATCATGAGCCATCTCCATCACCCCATGGGAGGCTGACCCTGCACATCTGCATACCTGAAGCCTGAGGACTCCACTTACCCCGGTGACTGTCAGAAAGACCAACTAACGCGAATCTGAATTAGGTGTGACGGATGTGCCTTCAATTGCCAGTTTGTTAACTTGCCAAGCGACACTGCACCACAGGACTCATCACCTGTGCAGGGAATCAGTGGAGAGACCCACTTAGGAGATGCGATTCCGATCAGGAGGCTGTGTGGTGGTTATAAAACCCGGACAGAGAAATGTAGCGTGTCTCCAGGGTAGGCTTGTTTGTACACACACAAGCAGGCCGTGTTATCTAGAGGCAGAGCTCCCCATCATCCTTTCGGATACGGCGGAAGACAGGTGTGCTTTCATCGGACTTCCATGCAGCGTATGCCCGGAATGGGACATCCATTTCCAGTGGCGCGCTCACTTCCTCCTCATGTGCTTGGACCTGCGCCGCGTCCACCTTGCCTCTTAACTCTCCTCCCTGACCTCAGTGGCTTTTCCTTCATCTCTTGGTTCTAAGGCCAGCCTGGAGGCAGGTTGACTCAGCATCCCTCCATCGGATGCATTGGTCAGGGGCCCCGGTGGCCCAAGAGTTGAGCATTCAGGTGATCACTGAAAGGCCCATGGTTCAAATTCACCAGCTGCTCCAAGGAGGGAGGGTGGTACCCCAGCAGTCTGCTTCCATCACGATCCCAACCGTGGAAACCCTGTGGGGCAGTTCCACTCTGTCCTATAGGATCAATACAAGTCGGAACTGACGCTCAGGCGCATAACCACATACGTGAGTCAGTGGGAAAAAACACTTAGAAAAAACGGTGTTCTGGGTAATTTCTCGGTTAAATAAGGAATCTTCACTTGGCATCTTCGTGGAAGAGGTTATGTGCTGACAGGTTATCGATGTGACTTTGAACTGCTCTGCTCTTTGTATTCAGGGCTAACCCGACACTTTCTCGTCTCCTTTCCAGGTGGCAAAGGTTCCCCCGGGATGGGCGGCTTCCAAGGCATGCTTGGACTGAAAGGAAGACCCGGGCATCCGGGAAGCAAAGGAGAGCCGGGGTATTTGGGGATTCCTGGTGCAAAAGGTCTGGCTGGCACACCAGGTGTGAAAGGTATGTCCATTGCTCTTAAAATTCCTTTTCCATGGCCAGGAGTCGCTCTCAGAGACATATAACAACGCTGCTCATGATTAATCTTCGAGAAGCCGCCAGGTACCTGGGAAACCTGAATCCAAAAGCTTGTTTAAAAATATATGTATTTATACATATACATATACATACATTTTATATATATATATATTCTCCTACTTACTTGGAAGCTTACCAGTGAGCAGCATGCTAGCCACCAGCATCCACCAGTGCACGGCTGCTAGCTCCCCTCCCCAGCGATGGTGGGGATTTTGTGGTTCTCTGTTACTTTGAGTCCACTCCAACTCCCGGAGCGCCGTGGGGCAGAGGGGTTTCCAGGCCATGATCTATCGAAGCCTTTCTGCTGAGATGTCTCTGAGTGGGCTCCATCCGACAACCTTTTGTCCACCCGTCAAGTCCTGAACCATCTATGCCACCCAGGAACACCTTCCCTAGGGTTGACCCCTCATGAATTCTGAGGCGCAAACAAGCAAGGTACTTCCAAGAAGACCGTGGAAGAAGCAGTTTTCCTTATTTGTTTAAGTTTGAGTTCTGTTTCATCAGAGCACACATTAAACTGTAAAAATTATTCTCTCGTGCGAAATACCAATGGAAACCATGTTGATTTTTTGATAGTTTCCATGAATAGTCTCTGTGTATACCACATTCTCCTGGAAGGCTGTCAGAAAAGAGTGGGAACAGTTCTTCTCCCTCCTCCCCCTTCTCTTCCTCCACCCACCCTCGCTTGTTGTCTTTCTGTTCCTCCTCTTCCTTCCCCTTCTCCTCCTCCCCCCACCCCCCCTTTTCCACCTCCTTTTCAACCCCCATGTATTCTGTGCTCAGTGGGAGAACTCACACACAACCATGGGCCCATGCCCCTCGTCTCCTCCACAGGAGGAGACCTTAGAGGAGAGACTTTCTTCTGTTTACAGAAGAAAAGGGAAAGAGGGGAGGGGACGGACATCCGAATTCCCCATCCCCACATGTGTCCAGCTGTTAAGCTCCCTGGTTAGGGCGTCCTTCCAGCTGCCCTGGTGGCTGAGTCTCTCAGACTTTCAGCTTTGAAGGTGAGCGGTCAGGCTGGGAGGCTGTGTCCACAGTGTTCTTCCACAGAGCCTGGAGGTCGGGACAAGTGACGGGGTTCCCTTCTCTTCCAGGCAACCGCGGGGAACCCGGCCCTCCAGGCCCACCTCCCCTCATCCTGCCAGGCATGAAAGACATTAAAGGCGAAAAGGGAGAAGAAGGACCTATGGGTTTGAAAGGATACTTCGGTACAAAAGGTGAGAGGACCATCAGGCTTAGACTGACCCGTGAGCTGTCAGCCTCCACTTTGCTCTCTCTCTCTCTCTCAAGAAATGGCATCTTTTGGTCACAGGCATGCCCTCGTGCCTTTCTGTGGGTGCCAGACTTTAGCTGTGTGTTAATACTCCTGAAGTCTTCAGAAACCTCCAGAAGGGAGCTAACGAAATTCTCTCTGGTGTGTCTGAGTAGGCTCATTGTCCTGCTGTCCGGTTTCTACACTCGGGATTGTAAATGGACATCCCCTCTTCTTACAGGCTTTCAAGGAATGCCAGGCGTCCCTGGGCAGTCAGGCATTCCGGGGTTACCTGGGATGCCCGGCTACATCAAAGGAACAAAAGGAGACATCGGGGTCCCTGGCGTGCCCGGTTTTCCAGGATTCCCTGGTGTGGCTGGCCCCCCAGGAATTATAGGATTCCCAGGGTTCACTGGGAGTCGGGTGAGTTGGTGCCGTTTGCTTTGCTCAGCTTACTCTCGTGGTGCCTGCTAACGAGAGTGCTTTCGCCCAGACTTTCTGGGAATAAGAGTTGCCAGGTGACTACAAGCTTCCTAATCAGAGGGGAAGGGCATTTTGAGGTCTGTGGTCAAGAATCGGAATGCTGTGGGATGAAGCAAATGCCGTGGAGGCCTTGAGAGAATCTCAGCATTTATTCTCACCAGCTGAGAAGACAGCCCCCCATGTTTTTATGGGGGCCTTGGGAGAGAGCCAAGCTTCCATTTCTAGAGACCAGCGCTCCAAACTTGACCGTGCATGCGGCCTCAGGAGTTAGAATCCATTACTGATTCATGGAGGCACTAGGAGTCGGACCCTTCATTCAGATCCCAGCCCTGCCGTGTAGTCCTTTCCTCATTCAACGCCGGTTTCCGAACATTTGGAAGGGCCCGGCACTGTAAGGGTGAGTGGTGACCGTGAGCAGGACTCTCGCTTGCTTCCTCCTCTGTCAAATGCAAGAATTACCTACCTGGCAGGTGTATATAATACACAATACAGAGAACAGCATGGCTCTCCTTAAACTAATTTTATGGGCCTTGTGTATCCACTTTCCTTTCCTTACAATCCTTGGCACTCAAGCAACGCCTTCCTGGCAGAGCACATTGTGAGCAGACCAGAAATTCTAGTGAGCCTTTAGCCACGGGCCAAGCTTGTCCATCTGGGGGGGAGGGGGGGTGATGGTGCTGGTGGTGGTGGTGGTGGTGTGTGGGTGTGTGGGTGGGTGTGTGTGTGTGTGGGTAGGGGGGGTGTTCCTCCTATGTCGTCATTCCCGTAAGCTGTAGCTGAGCAGATCTTAGAGCCAGTCTTGTGTGCAGCCAGTCTGATCACTCAAATGTAAAATCGCACTTCAGTCTACCAGCACAGGTCTATGACGTGTTCCTGGAAGGTTTATTCATGATAGCTGAAGACTGGGGAAAAGCCCACATGCCCATCAACACGAGAAAGGATAGCCGTGGTGTATTTACACAAACAAGGGATGCAGGTTATACAAATAGAAAGAAAGAACTACTGCCAGAACCACAACCCTAGGGGACTACGTAGACGTTGTGTTGACTAAACTAAGCCAGAAGCAAACGCGTACGCGCTGTCATTCGCTCTGTAGGCTGTCCAAAGACTGACAAGACTATTGGACAGAGAGGATTCAGAAGTGTAGCTGCCTGTGGCATGAAGAAGTGCTAATTAGCTGGCAGGATTATTGATTATTGACTAGGAAAAAGGCTGAATATAATCTCCCTTTTAACCTGAGTGGCAGATGTTTAATAATTCCTTGAGCTGGGCATTAAGCAAGAGTGGTTTTACTGCTTGAATGTTATACACCAACTGAGTAGATTTTTTAAAACAAATATAGATGATTATTTAAATACGGATGTAGCCTCGGGCAAGTCTTTTGACAAACTGGAGCTACATTCCTAATGTAGTCACGTTACGCCCTGCTGAAAACCAAAACCAAGCCCACTGCCACTGAGTCGACTCCTACCCAGGAAAGTCCCATGTTGGGTTTCCAAGACCGGAAATCCCTACGGCAGCAGACAGGCTCATCCTCCTGTAGAGCCGCCGATGGCTTTGAACCACTGGCCTTACAGTTAGCAGCCCAGTGCCCAGCACCGTCAGGGCTCCATTTGCCCTGCTAGGAAAGGGTGATGGGATCGGTGCTGTAAGGTTAAAGTCGAAGTGTCCATGCCAACACAGTGATGACCAGGGATGACAGAGCTGGAAGCTTTGCCCGCTCCTTCAGAGAAGAAATGGATCTTTTTCCTGAAGTCGCAGAATTATTCTAATCCCGTTATTCGCAAGTGGCATCATTTAAGGAACATCTAGCCCTTTCTGCAGAGAGATGTGCCCGATGATGTGACTGTGGAGAATCTAGAGAGCAGGTTCTAGATTCAGGGAACTTCCTCTCCCAGGATTCTCGGCACATTATTTCCCTTTCCGAAGCTTCAGTTAAGAAGCTCATGTGGTTTAACGGTTAAGCACTGAGCTGTTCCGCAAACTGTGGAGGGTTCAAACCCCCTCAGCATCTCTGCGGGAGAATGGACCTGGCGGTCCGCTCCCATAAAGATTCCAGGGGAGGAACCCCGTGACCCTGCCACATAGGGCTGCTCTAAGTCAGAATCAATTCATCGACACACAGCAACCTTCATCCAAGCAGCTCCGGGGGCGCAGCAGGCAGGCAGGCACGGGACTGCTAACTGGGAGGTGGCAGTTTAAGCCCTTCCATCCCTTGGTTCTTTCCAAAACAAAGTTACTGCCATGGAGGAAATTCCGATTCACCGTGACCTTATAAGGCAGAGTAGACCTGCCCTCAGGGATTTCCAAGCTGTAAGTCAGTATAAAAGCACATTGCCACATCTTTCTCCCAGAGATGCTCATGAAATTAAACTGCCCACCCATCAGTAAGCATCAGGTGCTTAACCTCTGCACCACCGAGGTTCCTAGTTGCTCTGCAGGAGAAGAAGACTAGTGATCTATTTCTGTAAAGATTACAGCCCAGAAGTCCCCATGCAATCATTCTACTCAGTCATGCAAGGTCACTATGGGTCAGACTCCACTCAAGGCCACCTAGCCAGTTTCAACGGTCTCATCTGTCAGATGGGAAATAATAGTATCAACCTCATAAAGACACAGCCCTGGTGGTATAGCACATTATGGGTATAACTCCAAGGTTAGCTGGTCAAAACCACCAGCCACTTTTCAGGAGTAAAGTGAGACTTTCTACACCCATAAAGAGCTACAGTCTCGGAAATCCCCAGAGGCAGTTCTGCCCTGCCCTACACGGTTGTGATAAGTCAGAATCAACACGGTGACAGTGAGTGTGGGTTTTGTGTACCTCATAAGGAAGTTGTGCAGCTTAAATCATTTCAAACCAGCCCACCTGGGGAAAGGTTGGCGGAGAGGGAGTATACAGCCAACATCCCGTGCCAGAGTTATTGCCCCATCCTCACACTCGTGATTTTTATCGCCGATATTATTAATACGAGCTATTCAGAGAGAAAAGTTGCCACACTTGTTTCTTTTATCATTATTGCCAGTCTTGAGTACTGCTAGCATACTCTACAGTTAGCTATGTTAGTTAGCCATTCAAAATGAGAGACATTACACCAACCTATTTCAACTGTCTTCCAAAGTGCCTTCTTGTTGACCTTTATTCCAGGGTGACAAGGGTGCTCCAGGGAGAGCCGGCCTCTATGGGGAGATTGGACAGACTGGTGACTTAGGTGAGTGTTGTTTTCGCAGTGAAACAGCCGTCCCTGAGTCAGCTCTCTGGAGAGGTGAGCGGAAGGCAGTGAGTGCAGATGCGGTTAGTTCTTTTCGGATACATTCGCCTTTGGAATGCAGCACAGAAGTCATGCTCCTACTTCCCGCCTCATGTATCGACTGCTTGGTATCCAACATTGCGCATTGATCACAATAGTTCAAAAAGCTCACCAGCAAAATCCTTCACACCGTAACAGCAGTGTGCTGGCTCTGATGGTTTAGCTTATGTGTCAACTGGACTGGGCCATGATTCTCAGCGGTTGGGCAGTGATGATGGGTTGTAGTCTGGCACTTACGTTATGCTGTCATTACTCTCCATTTTGTGATCTGATGTGGCCATCCTCTGTGCATGCGTAATGCTGATTGTCATGTAATGACCCGGGCTTTGGAAGGTAACCATGTCCATACATAAGGAGTGGGTGTAAAAACGAACCACGCCCTAACCGGAACCTGATCTCAGCCATCTTTTTAACATAGGTGATATTGGAGAGACTATTAATTTACGAGGAAGCGCAGGCCTGAAGGGAGAACGTGGCAGCACAGGAATCCCAGGTACACAACTAATTTTTCATTTCTTCAGTTATGATCCCTTGTGTATTTCATCACTCAAAGACCTAATTTGCCAAATGTATCAGTATCTCTGAGCACTAAGAATAACTTTAAAAGCTACAACAATGAACTCGTTGGTCAAGATTGTTCAGGAACAGGCAACATTCTGCTATAAATAAGGTCACAAGGAGTGGCTGCCAACTGAATACAAGTTGAAAACAACAACATAAATAAAGAATTTTATAATGAATGAGTATCGGTCTTTGAACCCAAGGGATAGGCAAGGCTTTGGAGTTATTAATTAAATAAATCCTAAGTCGTAATCAACCTTAGATAAACTTTCTCTCTCTCAATGGGAAATCAGCCAGAATCAACACTTAGTGGATGGGAGAAGTCCACAAAATGTAACATAAAAAATAAGGGATTAAAGCTTTGGCTACTAAGATGTATTATAGGACACAAAACAAGTAATGTAACAACTAGACCTTCTCATGAACATTACTGCTTGTGTTAGTCCGTGTTTTTCTAAGAGTATTTTTCTAAGTGCAGCATTACCTTCATGGATAAAATCACAAAAGTGATTTTATGGAATTCCGCTTAGTCAGGAGCCACCCAAACGTTACAATAAGCCAGAAACACCAAAGCACTTGACAGAACATTGTCCCAAATACGAAGACAGTATTTCTCACCATTCCAATGGCCACCATAGAGTCACCTGAGACACTAGCTTAAAGTGGAAACTCCAGGCCTTCCCCTGCGGATTCTAAGTCACGTCCAGGGAAGAGGCTTAAGTGTCTGGACATTTACCTAATCGCCTGGGAGATTTCCCTGGCATCTTATGCCTTGAAAGCCACTCTGTTAGGAGCTCTGGAGGAACTGTCTGTTCTGTTTCACAAAGTACCCCATAATGCAATGGCTTAAAGGATGAGGAAGCATGTATTCTTTCATACAGAGTCCGGAATTGGGGTTCATCGTGGTTCTGACTTGATGGTCTCGTGAGACTTGCAGTTATATCACCCAGAGCAATAGTCCACTCAAGACTGTGGCGGAAGGATCCTTTCCCAAGAAGGCATACTCAGACCGCTGTTGTTACAAGGCCTGAGCTCCTTATCCTCATGCCGTGGCTCCTGGCTCCCACCAGAGTGAGTGGTCAAAGAGAGAGGACAGAGAGAAATCAGTGATGAATCTGGAAGTCCCACTCCATCATCTCTGTACTATCCTATTGGTTACACAATTCCGCCTCACTCGCTGGGAGAGGGACCTAGGGCGGGGCATGGCAGTACAGACCTTTGAGTGCCATCGTGGAAGCTGGCTACTACAGGCTCAGAGACAGAAGCGAGGCCAAGGAAAAAATATTGATAGGGAGTAGAACCGTTTTCCCCATTCCCGTACAGGAGCGTGTTCGTGTGGCATTACACTGTCCTTTAACTACCTTCTCCACTCGCCCTAAAGCCCGAAGTTCCAGTTTGACATGATGCCAAGCAGAAAATCTTTCATCACAGGTCAAAAGGGAGTCTTTGGCGAGAAGGGAACAGAGGGCAACCTTGGCTTCCCTGGAATAACAGGCATGAAAGGAGCCCAGGGTTCTCCCGGACTTAAAGGACAAACAGGTAACACCTTCTTCAAAGGAGTGGCTTCCCCTTCCTCCTGCCGTGGCTGGGAGGTGGGGTGATGGCGTATGGACTAAGTGCAGCTGAGAGCCACTGGTCGGCCGCCTCTAAGTCTCCCACAGCCTCACTGCACTCTGCCTACACCTCCTTCTCTGCCCAGTCAACTCACGTTGAAGAAGCTTGCATTGGGATACTGTCCCTCCGACCTCGTTCTGCATCCAGCCCTGTCAATCCCATGGGGAGAAAAGATCACCTGGGCCGTGGGAGCAACCAAGAGACGCATAAGACATTAGTGTGTCTGTGGCCATCTCGCACATAGAAACAGACTGGGTTCTTGTGAAAGGACCCAGTGTCGTGCATCTGGACATGCAGAAATTCATCTGTTGGGTCCTTCATCGCCAAGTATTACTGCATTCCTGACTGGAAGCGAATGGCAATCT